ATATATATATATATGGTATTAGGATTTATGACTTAGGGATAAACTAGTAAAAAAATGTCTTTGGTTTCTTTCTTATTTAAAATGACGATATTGTGTATTTGGGTGAATTTTATAAACTTAATTATGAACATTTGAATTTGTTAATTTGATTTTGATCAATAGTGGCTTTAAATTGAAATAATTTATATGCATGTATGTATGTGTGTGATTATAACCCTCCTCATATATATATATATATAAAAGATTAATTTTTTATTTTAGGAGTAAGTCTACTTAGACTTATTTCGTTCAATAACTCGTGTTCTACATCAAATTTCAACGATTCAACTGTTCAATTTAAAGTTCTTTGTAACGACCCGGCTGGTCACTACACTTACAATCACAACACACCGAAATAATATACTAACATATTATAGTTATTGTATGGGTAAAAATAATTTTTAGTGACATATACAGTGTCACTATAGGGTGTGTGTCACTGTATGATAATTTTGTTGTAGTGTAAAGAAGTGATTATATAAATATGATCTAAGCTTGGAGTCTTCGGGTGAGCTTTGACCACTTATATGGTATTGGATGTTGAGTCTATTGTCGAGTATTAGTTATAGTTCTCCCGCACCTATACCCACTCAAATTATTATCAACCATAACTACTCTTGGTAGTTAATTAGGATAATGATGACATGCATTCATGTAGAAATCACCATCAATCGAGATATACTTGTAGAAGAAACCCTAGAGTCGGAGAGAGAATTTGGAATGCTCTGATCTTAGGTCATCTTTAGCTATCATCTTGAGTGATTTGTTACAGGATCACCATGCCATCCCTTAGAGAAGACATATGCATTCACTATAATTTGATTAGAAACATGGCTGGCAAATATCTTGCAGAATATTGAAACCCTTTATACTACTACAATACCTTTTCCTAGGAGCAAAACATAAATTTGAATAAAATATTTTGACACTCAGTAAAATGATTCACCACACCCTTAATTATTATTTCTAGACAAGGATGGTGAGAACACAAGAAGGCTCAAGTTAGAAGTATGGCAAGGAAAGAAATGTAGTCCTCCAACAATTGATAGTGACTGAATTACGAGAACAAAATGAGGTTATACATTGAGGAGGTTGAGGAGCATAATCAAGCATTGCAACGTACTAGATAACAATGTTAAGGTGCAACCTAGCTAAAGACGAGGCGACACAAGGGGTACAGGACACCTTGAGAAGTTTCTAATCTTCTTTCAGGAGATCTGGAAGGAAGAAACCTCGACCAATTTTTTGTGTCTCCACCATGGAACCTTATGATGATGGAACCTAGGATCCTCATGAGCACATGATGAAATTTCATATGCAAATGTTGAACAAATGGAGGAAATGACATTAATTGTTAATCGCAAGATGTTTGCAAGAACTTTGAAACGTACAACTTTAATGTGGTTTACAAATTTTTTTTTGGTTAGTGACTAGCATTAAATATTTGTAGAAGTAAGTTGTGACTCAACTTGCAACAAATAGCTAGGGGTAAAAGGATGATAGGGCAAACCTCTTTTATATTCAATAATGTCCTTGTCAACCAAGGGAGTAAGATAAATGTGTTTTGTAACATCCCAAAAATAGGTTACTAAAATAATAATATGACATAATGAGTTAAATAAAAGTGAAATGCTTGTTTTATAATTAATGTATATAACATGTTTTTACTTTTTCATATAAGAGGATAGCAAGTCATAGTTAATTAAGTTAAGTTTAACATATATAGCATATACATCTTATACGGTTCAATAGGATCTCGGCTTCCACTTAAGACTATAAAACTCTTTCTCTTCCCTCATTACTCTCATAACACACTTAGAGAAGGGGGAAAGAGAAGAAAAAAAGAAAGAAGAATAGGAGAGAAAAAAATCAAGGGAGTACTCTTGGTATCATCAAGTACTAAGTACTCTTAGTATCATCTAATAATAAGTTCTTCCTCTTTATATTCTTCCCTCTCCTCTGTTGATTGAGATTGAAGTTGAATTACAAGTTCTTAATTATGAACCTTAACAAAAGGGGGATTTAGGGATATTTTTCATAAATTTGAATCATTAATGA